AAATCGATTTTAAGCGGTCGTTATTCATATACCCACATACATACATTAGAGCTCTTGTTAGTCGACTAGTCGAATAATCGAATAGTCGAGTAGCAAAAGTTGTTTCAAAAAATAATCGACTTCACTTAATCGAATAACCGTTTCCTTTCGACTTTTCAACTAACCGCTCACAAACAATTTGTGGACTATCTGTTCATTTTCGATTTTTCGACTAGTTGTTTTCTTTCAGTAAACATTGTTTTTTTTTATATTTTTTGAATACTTATGCTTATTGACAAAGCCCAGCCATGCTAATGACAATAATTTTATGGTGAAAACTGTCCCTATTCGAATAATTTCGGTTAGTCGATTTTCAGACTACTCGATAGTTAGGGGTTAATCGAAAGTTATCGGTTAGTCGAATTCGATCGGTTAATCGAATAATTGCTATTCGACTATCAACCGACAAAAAAGTTGCTAATCGACTAGTCGACTAACCGAATAGCCGGATAGTCGATTTTTAACGAGAGCTCTAACATACATACATATATTACTTTTCATATCAATTCAAGTGTATTACATGCGCCCCACGCTTTTCATTTTCAATTTCATAGATTGTTTATAATGACTTTTGCTAAAATTTCAAAATCAAAAGTTATCAAAACAAATTCTATGGGACTGGGAAATATTATTTTCTACTTTTTAGTCCATTTATAAAAGCGTTGTATATTAAAAAGTTTTTTTTTATATTATTTATTTTCTACTTTTTAGTCCTGTCTGAATAAAATTTTGCAATAGATATTAAAATAATTCATCGATATTAATAGAAAGGTGCACACACATGCATTTACATATGTGTATGTACATACAAACGAGCACCAATTAATTTTATTTAAAGAAATGGCGTGTCGTCTATTTCCGCTGTAGCAAACGTAGTACATAGGGCGACATCTAGATGTCATCTACCTCGCCCTATTCACTACAGATGTCGCCCTATGCACTATGCTTTTTTATAGGAACTTTTCAAAGCAAAGGTTTTATGGTGTCGGACACACAACATTGCAAGTTTCTGGATCCACAACATTGAAAGTTTCTGGACACACAACATTGCAAGGTGATAAAAGCGTTGTAAAAAATATGTTAAAACTTGTGTGTGGTGTGGCTATAATTTTTTCGACCACTGTATGTATGTATATGCAGATGCACTCTTCTACTACCACAGCATATTTGCGCAGCTGCCTTTACAATTAACCGCAATTGATTATGGCTTTGTTTGTGATATTTTAATTTGTAAAATTTGATGTTCATATTAATTGCGCGTGGAAATTTAAGATGCCCGAAGAGACGTTAAGGCTGCGTAGTTTTTATCTTTCCATTATGCAAAAAAAAAATAAAAGTTCCTAGAAATAATATCCATTTAAAGTACAGTTTTGCTTGATTAGAAATATGTGTACACACATATATATATATATACTTGCTTTAAATTGAATTATTATGATTCTTTCGATATCGAGTTTGCATCTTAAGTCTTTCGTTTTTTCTTACTGGTCAATGCCTGCCTGCTCGTTTGGAGTTTGTGCCTTAAGCTTTTTGTTTATTTTGTGTAAAGGTGTATTCGTGCTGCAATTAATACGACAGTGTCACTTTCTATGTTATTGGCAAATCAAAAGCAACATAAACATTTTTACTGCAGAATTTCTGCTGCAGCATTTCAGAAGATTTTTAATATATCATGAGCGACATATCATCAAGAAACCCTCGCGGCTGCAATAATGTGGTAATTATTACGTTGCTCGAACACACCCTATACTCCTTTGATCGTTCAGAAATCTGGTCCATGCGTTTACAAACCAGTCTAACGAAGCCTTCTCTAATACCAATAGCGAACGAAACAGTTATAACTTTTAATAAAAAGAAAAAATATTTTTAAATATTGTTTACTGAGTTTTATAAGCGTTGTTTTTTTGTTAACTTTTTTTATTAAATTTTTTCTTCGAGAAAATAAAACTTTACTTTTTTGGTTTAGAAAGCAAAAGCAGCTTCTGTTCCCTAAAGTAGCGGTAGTGAGTCAAAAATTGTTAAATAGATAACATTAAATGGAAATATGGACACTGTTAAGGTAGAACTAATAACAAGGCAATGACAAAACCTATGGCAAATCCACAGATAAAGACGAATACGAAAGCGAATATACATGCGAATGCGATCGCGAGTACGGAAACGAACGCTTAGGCGACGACGAACACGGAAACGAAAACGGAGACGAAGGTGAAGACAAATAAAATTTTGGCCGAGTCCACAAGAGCTCGCCAGTCGTTTCTGTGCACGCCAAACTGGAAATGCGAAGTGAAGTCAGGTCCTTCTCCAGCTGGTTTTTCCAACGCAAAAGAGGCCTTAATGGCTGGCTCGCATCAATCATTGGTGGGACTAATTTTAGGATAAGGATGGGGGCGAATACCAAACACTGAACCGCAGCAGCCTGAGGCGCACAGGCTCCATTAAGCTGCTCAGTGCGCTTATTTGGGGTACCTATGCAATGCAAAATAAACTCCCTTGTTGTGGATTAGATGCTTAGTGAAGAAAACTGGCGAATAATATGCAGAAAGTATACTCCGAGCGGAAAAGTGGGATATGGACGTTGAAGCATCAATAGAAACTTGGTTAATGAGAAGTATAAAACGCCATCCTGAAATAAAGCGAAGATGGATTCCAGAGCGGGCGACGGTTCGTGTTGGTGTTATTCTTGTTATAGCGGACACTTAAAAGAGTCTGGTCTTAGTCCCTCACTCGTTGTCATCAAGCTCAACTTACGGTAGGCCCAAGAAATATACTGTTTCCTCGGGGTCGGACCAGATAGAGAGGGGTATTAGCTGAGTTGTGTTGAGTGAGCTTGTGAAGACGGGTTTGTCGTCATACAACTGGTACCTCGGGGTCAGTTTTGGATAATTAGGAACTTAACCCACCACAATATCTAGACCGCAATCTATCCAGTGTAACTCGGATATCTCTTAGAAGCTGAATCTATTCCTCAGAAAGTGGTAGCGCTGACAACATTCGTGGGACAGAAGTTGGTGAATGCGGTGATTGTCCAGTGGTTGTCGCAGCTTTGCCCTTCGTTCTTCAGTTCGTAGCGATACTGATTGCTAAGCAGATGCCATCCTTTAGCTATTCGGAGTATTGTGGCAGATGTTTCGACCTACCACACCGGCTTTTGGCGCTAGAGGGAGTCTCGATTGTCTCTTACGCCGACGACTGCTCGATCATGGCGTCTGGGAATGGAATTGATGACTTGTGTTCGAAGTAAACGGTTATCTGTCCGAGCTTCTCGCTTCTTCACTGCAAGGAGCCTAATCCTCTCCCCTACGACCTTGTTCACCACCTGGACGAAGGAGGTCAGGCTACCGCTGGAAATTCACGTCGATGATACACCGATTCCGACGGTGTTACCTTCGACAGTCTGCTGTCCTTCTCTGCGCACGCAACCGCTATTGTCAACAAAGTACAGAGCCGCAGTACTTGTCGCTAACTGGCTTGGGACAAAGACAAAGAAACGTTGCTGGCAACATACAAGGCAATAGGCCGGCCGGTGATAAATTACGCAGCACCAGTGTGGTCGCCGGGGACTGGTAGACTACACAAAACACCGCACTACGGACAGCGACTCGATGCCTTCTAATATCGCCAGAACACCACCTGCATGAAGAGGCGAGACCTGTGAAAGCCGTTCTAAGCGCACAACCACCGGACATCCACGAAACGGAGCTTCATCTGCCTCGGGAGACTAGAACCGCAATAGCCTAACTTCGCTCTGGCTACTGCAGCAGGTTAAACTCATACCTAAGCAGATTAGATGCAGATGTGCCAAATGAGTGTCCGGCATGCGGAGAGACACTCCACGACTCGAAACATCTCTTCGTATGTCCGGAAAACCTGACAAACCTAACGCCTTTGTTCCTGTGGACTGACCCTATTGAATTTATTAATTTTATTTTTATTGTTAGCTTGTGGTTTATCCCACTTACCTTGTCACATTACTTGTCAACTTCACCCAAAAAAAATCTTATTTATTCAGTTGCCTTCGGCAAACCCACGCATCCTTACAAAGAAAGTTGATAAATGTGTAACATTTTCGATGGCATATAAAATTGAAAAATTTATTAATCGTATGTGTCATTTATTGACTGCTTAAATGCAATAAAAGTCTCGTTTTCACATATAAAGCGCGTAAGCTTTGCAATATCATAAACAAGCGCCAAGTTCAGCAGCCAATCAATGAACAGCGATTAAGTTGCCAATGACACGAAACACAAAAAGGGAGGTAGAGAAAGAAAGGGATTCGAAAGAGGAGAAAATACAATACGTAAAAATAAAATCATAACAATGGCCCGCAATTTATGCAAAAACGTCACACAAGCCAAGCAAATTAAATCCTCGCATTTCCAATTTCACTTTTTGGCCCAATTTCGAGGCTATAAGCCAAGCTTATACACACACACGTGCGCATGCGCACACAAGTAGACAGCAAAAGAGCCACGAAATGCGCGCAGCGGCAAAGCATAAGCGCCTGAGCACTTTACACGCACAGTTGGTTAGCACATATGTATGTATGTACATATGTATGTATGTACATATGTATGTATATTAGTAGGTAGGTATGCCTAAAGAGCCGCACTGATTGGCACAAATGTCGAATGTCACCCATGGTTAGCACAGAAATTTATGAAAATTTACCAGCTGGATAGCAAGACAGAAGAGATTAGTGCAGGCAGAGTGAAGGCGGTATAGAGACGGCTCGAGGAGAAAAAAATATTGCATCAATTGATTGTAAGGCACAGATATTTCAATTAGTGTAAATCGTGCAGGCATGCAAACGATATAAGCTGCGTATTTTTACACACATATATGTATGTATATGTAGGTAGCAATATGGCGAAAATATTGCACGCAAATACGTACAACATAGTGAAATTGAAGATGAAACCGTTGCATTAATGCAGCGGCATTCAATGAAATCGAAATGCAAATGTCTGATCACAACAACAATTGACGCTACTGTTGCGTGAGCAAACTCAAACTCTGACAAAACGAAGTCTTATCTATTGGGAGCATCAAGAAAAGTTTTACAATCGCAATGGAGAAGCGGTAGCTCGCCACCGTGTGTGTTTTTCGTTCATTCATAATTACCATAATTCGCACGCAACATTGAAAAGGAAGCCAAATTACGAAAAAAGATAAGCGTTAAATGTTGCAGCAGCTAGCGGCTATAGATACACATACATACATACTATGTACATATGAATGTATTGAAAACATTTAATTCATTGCGTTATCATTACAAACATCTTTTTTATTTACAAAAGAAAATGATTTATCGGATATCCAGGCGCGCAATCGCCCGAAAGGTGGACTACAATATGTTGACCCACACATGACCGGTGTCAACTTCTCCAAAGCGAAAAGGATAAAAATTTAAAAAAAAAAAAACACAAAACGAATTGCAATAAAAACGTCCGTCTAAATAAATATTGATAAAGAAAAGATAAATAAGATAACGAAAATTGCATGCAGCACTTACCGATTGCACCATGGGTGTAGTGGAAGAAATAAATCATAAAAGGTTTTTTACAGAATTGGTGTCACCAGGTTATGCAAAAGTAGTAAATTAAAATATTTTGGAAATGTTGAATGTGGTTTTGCTTGAGTTAAAAGTAGAGAGCTGCATGCGGCGTTTGACTTTGTGATTTATAATTTTGTATGTGCTTAGTCTCTTTGTATTTGTGCTTGCATATTCAATTATTTTTGTAATTGTTGTTAATTGTTGTATTAGTTTGATTGATTAATGTTAATGATTAACTTTCTTTATCTTTTTTTTAATTAACTTCAAACTTTTTTATTAAGTTTGGCTGTTTTCTTACATGAAATGCTTCCTTAAATTAAATTTTTTGTTATATGTATCTAATATCAACTAATTCTTACGGCGGCTTTTTAGCAGTCGGCTTTCTGTAGGCAGTGCGGCTAAACTTTGATGGTTTTTCATACCAGAACATTGCAAAATTCTTTTGCGGTAAAGTACAACAGTGTCTTATACTAAAACCGTTCTTAAGGATCTTCAGGCACAATCTTTACGGTCATTTTCTTCATACCACGGAAAATCGTTATATCGAGCGATTTCGTTTTATCAGCTAGAGCTTCATAAACATCTGAGGAGTTCTTGATGTCTTTATCATTGATTTTCGTAACAATATCACCAGGGTAGAGACCGCCACTGAAAATAAAAGGAATAACTATTTAGTCATATCGCGCCTTGACATTTGAAAGAACAACTTAAGTGTGTCTTTAACGGACAAACGAAATAGCATATGTCGACCAAACCTATACATATATGCCGCCAAAGAGAAAAATGGTGCAATTCGAAAGAAAAATCCCACAAGCTACTCGAAGCCACTTCGATTTACACATACGCGTTCCACAAGTAAGTTTTAGAGTTTATTTGATATACGCTGACAGTTTGAACTTTGCTCGATTTTTCTACCAAACCTATTAAATTATTTTATCGCTATTCACAACCTTTTAAAATGTTACTGTTTTCAGCAACTGGCATATTTGTACGTTAAAGATAGACTTAAGATGTTCTTGCAAATATCAACAAACGTATATTTATGTATAAAAAAATACTTACGTATGCGCCGGCGAACCAATGATTACTTTCCACACAAGCACGCCATGTTGCAGGTCGCTGGGTACATTTTGCGTCCGATTTTTTAGTTCGAAGAGTATGTCGGGCGTTAGTGTCAGCATTGTTATGCCCATATAGCGTTTGGCAGGATAATCCATCCTGCTGACACCTTGTTTGCGTCGTTCTGCAGCTCTTTTAAGAAATAGTTTAACATAGTCAATGGGTATGGCAAAACTAATTCCTGCGGTGACTTTCATTGAGTTAACCCCAATAGCTTCGCCATCTAAGTTCACTAGTGGGCCGCCCGAATTTCCAAATGTAATAGCAGCATCCGTTTGTATATAATTTATATCACGATTTTTTAACCCCAACTCTTGTGAGGGACGTTGTGTTGAACTAACGACGCCAGCAGTCACTGTGTTGCTCAATGCCAATGGACTACCCAGCGCCACAACCCATTCGCCTGAACGCAGTGTAGAACTTTGCCCAAGTGCCATTACTGGCAAATTTTTACAATCGATACGCACTGTGGCCAGATCTGATGTTTGGTCTATATCTTCTACTACGCCAGGAAATATCCGTCCGTCGTTTAGCCGTACCTGTACCATTGTGTGTGGCTTATTGATGACAACATGGGCATTTGTCAATATGAGTCCATCGGAATCGATTATGAATCCAGAGCCATTTGAAGCCGTGACGGGTTTGCCGGTATAGTAATCAAACTGTCGCATGTCCTTTATCTCTATGTACACCACTGACGGTGCGCATGCATGTACAACGTCCGCAAGGAAATTATATTGGTTGCGACGTCCAGACAGTGGGGGCAATGTAAAAGCAGACACATGTGGTATAATAGACTTCCTGTGATCGTATGCTAGGTAAGCAGATAGTGCAGTAATAGTGGCAATTGGCAGGAAGCTGGATCTGCAAGATTTTCTTCGATAGTCCTGCGAATTTCCCTTATTGTTATTGTTGTTTTCATTGCCATAGCTTCTTGTTTGTGGTTGTTCGCGAATTGACTGATTAAGTGAGCGCAATAATCCTCGGGTATTTAAAATTTTCAGTGAAACATGAACCTTTTTTAAATTATTCAACGCCATCACTGCTGCAAAAATCCGCGTATTACCGATTGTTTTGCATGCATCAGCTGATAAGTCTTCTTCTTATCTGCGCGCAATTCCTAATGGCTGAAAAAAAGTGTTGGATAACGTTATTTTTTATTTAAGCTCTTTGATGTGGCATGTTTTATTAAGGAACGAAAGAAAGTAAAATGTACATTTACGTTCTTTGGTAAATCTAAAAGAAGGGAAAACCAGAGAACGTTAAATAGTTATTTAATTTTTATTTTTAAATATTTCTTTTAAGTATTTAACGATCTCTGTTTTCCGTATACGCGGCGAAAATAAAAAATCTGCCGCGGACAGAGTCAAAACGGAGACGAATTCCTGTTGCAAACGTTTCAGATACGGTCAAAATCTGCGCTGCACATTTTCTGAGTAACGAGTTCTCTCTTCTTATAAATTTACCTTCTTTGGTAACGGGTTGCCTTTAGTAGATTTGCGTTCTTTGGTATTTACGTTCTTGGACTCTTCATTCAGAAATTTTGTGGGGACCGTAGCTTCACCTCACCCTAATAGATAATGTGGAAAAATTCCACTAGATACGACAGCTCTGGTGCTCAGCTGATATTTGACATTTCGCCATGTTACTGAATTTCAGCTAACTTCGGTTTCATAGCAATTTTTTCTTGCTTTTCGCTAAAGGCCCGTCCACATACAACTTTGGCGTTGCGTTGGCGCT